TCTTTCGAACTTTGGTATGTAGAATGTAATAAATGTCGATCATTTGTATTGATATCTAAAAAGAGGAATGAATTGGGTATTTTGTAAAACAAGCCTTGTTCTACAAACTAATATATAAAAATTCTTTCTTATAGTTTGGCTTGAGATAGTTTTTATCAAAATACAAAATTAAACTAGTCGAAAAAATTTTGCAAAGATGTCGTCTTTTGACCTTCGTTAACAATTTATTTTTAATTAACTAACTTTAAGCAAGAAAATAAATTCTTTATATGTAGTTAGAAAGAGCATGAAATTTTGATTCTAGCTGATTACTCTTGATCTTCTCTAGTGACTTATCAGGAAATGATAATTGACTAGACATATTATGCAAAAAAATTTTACAGACAAATTCACATAATTATGCATGCATATCCAGGGAAAATAAGAGAATTGCAGATCTAGAAGTACTCAAGAATCTATAGAATATTGATACTCAAACTCTTTTAGAACAATATGAAGTTAAACAGATGTTCTTACAGTCGCAGAGAATTCCCAAAGTCATTGTTGTTCGATAGAACTGCGGTTAATACTAAAGCTTTAATATTAAAAATGATCAAATGTTAGATTTTATGAGATTTCAAAGTTCTCCACGAAAACCATCCGCATAATTTCATAAGAGTCTGTACTATTTCAGAATGTTATGGCGGTCGATGATTCTTCACATATGCGCCCTATTTCTGCCTTTAATGCAAAAATAAATCACAGTATTTGCATCTTAAAAGAAAAATCATAACCAAAAGACTAAGTGAATTTTCATATGAAAAATGTCATGGATAAATGTCTGCATTGAACATTTCTATACAAATTTAGAAATAACTTACTAGAGGCTTCGTGAATAAATCTATTTTAGTCATTTTCGAACATCCCAAATAAATATTGATTATGCTTAATATTCATGTTTCTACACTCGGTATTTTACTCATGGTATGTAATGTTTGTTTATGTGGTCATCTATCTGAAACAATACTATATGTGCTAAGCAAATTCTTCAAGATAATAATGAATGAGCTGACAAAGGTAAAACTTATGCAAAAAGCTCAACATTGAATGAATTTAGTTTCTTCTATATCATTATTTTGGTTCTATTTTAAAACAAAATCAATCATCCCAATAATCAACACTATTTAAAATCAGTGGCGAAGTTCTTGTAGTAAGATTTTTGAGAGATGCATTTTGTTTTCTTCAAAAATCTTGGCAGAAGACTCAAAGGTCAAAAAGGAGGCTGAGCCCCCTAGCCCAAAATTCTGGTTTCTTCACTGTTTAATATATTTTCAAATGTAGTTTTCACAATAGTGTTATTTAAATATTTTAATTAATAAATGCTTAACATAGTTTTTACTTGACATTACTTTCTAGGAATTATCTTCTAATCAATCAATCGTTCTTTTTGTTATAATTGAATTTGCACGTTATACAGCGAAAATATTACGATGGAAAACATAATTGAAGCAATCGATTGGTAATATAATAATTATTTCATTTTGTTTATTGCAAAATTATGACTATATCGTATTTTTTTTACTGTCGAACATCTTGATTGTAAAATCATCGAAATAATTGATTTTGCTATGGAAATTATTCTGTTTATTACTGTTTTTGCTGCTTTCTATCTATTAAAAGATTGATAAGTAATGACGTACGTTGTTTCTTTATTTTTTATTCTCATATAATTTTTTTCTGTTTACATGCTATAACAGTATTTATCATTCCTGTTGAAGCATTTCCATCCGCTATATGGCGTTGCTGCTGTTCATAACCTTTTGGTTTCTTGCAGAGAAACAGATGGTATTCTTACTGCATTTATAATGAATGTTCTTATTGATCTTGACAGTAAAAAAAATTCCAGTTTAGTTTCAAACCTTTGATATTCTTACAGATTTTAGTGATGATTAACGTGCAAGAGAAAAAAAATTGAATCAAAGTAATTTCATAGAAATATCATACAATTATTTAATTCATTGTTTTAGACAAAATCTTTATTGATAATACTCTAGAATTGTCTCTTGATAACTTAACATAATAATATATTCATCTTTAATTAAAATTTTCAACTCTGAGTGCATCTATAGAAAAAAATGCGCATATACGGTATTTATTTGGATTAAAGTAAGTCTGTAGAAACCCTATTCATTGGTGACATATACGATGATTAGTTTTATCTTTTTTGTTATATTCGCATGTTCATTTAGTCAATTTTGGTAGATCAATCAGACAACAGTTTGTGCTACTTGAAAATGGCAAATAGAAGTGTATTTACTTGAAACATTAAGTGTTCTGTCAAGTCTAGGGAAAAGTATTTACTTTTAGCGCATTCTAAAATTTTCTAGAGAATAGACATGCATTGTAATACAGTAAACATCTTCTCACTAATCAAACGTCTAATTATTCTTAATAATATTGATAAGCTACTTTGAACTTGTTTTCTTTATGGTATTCATCTTTTTATATAGTATATTGCTCATCTATTCATTAAAAATAATTAAAAAGTTATATTATAATGATTTTTTGATTATATATAACATGATACTATAGAGATCTACGCTCATGTAAAAGAACTTCTTGACATATGAAGCCGATATTACGTGTATGACCTGATCACCTTCTTTATTTAACAGACTATATTGGAAATAATTGTTGTCAATCATATTTTCTGCACGAGATATTCTATTCTCGGTGGATTCAGCACGCAAACATTTTTCATGTAAATTGAGTCTACTGATTAATATGTCAAGGCTTCAAACTTTCTTTCCATACCAACCTGATTGTCACATTTAAAATGACATAAGTTAGTTCAGAACATATTAAAAGAACATGACAAAAGCCTGGGAAAAATATAGCGTAGCCTATACATCATACAAGTGTTGTCCATACTATCAGAAGAATTTAATACATTTAATTTTTTTAAGAAAATAAATTACGAAATTTATTAATATTACTAAGTTAAATTTTCTCAATATGACACTGCTAGGATAGAATATTTTTATTTATTAAACAATGAAAAATTTGATGTATATTAGTTAAGTAGTTATGAACTTTCTGTTGGGTCTTGGAGAATAAGTATTTTCTACACATTGATTATATTTTGCCGTAAGAAGACAATCTTCATACGCATATATAGATGGATATAGATGTGTTGTCTGTATTTCCTGAGAGATTTTGTAAAATAATAAGCAAAATCTATTTGAATGCTAATGAGTTATTTGTCTACATGAATATTTTTTTCTATTTCATTATATCAGTATAAGAGCGACAAGTTCATGTTAATAAAAAGAATTTGACCTGAAATCAAAATTCTTTTTTTTATTTCCAACGAAATATACATATAGCCATTTACTGATTACTCATGCACTTATGCCTTGTATATATTTATATAAGATTATTGTGTAAACTTTGTATGTTAACACGTAATACTTTAACAAAAAGATACAAAACGCTGACTAATGATGACGAAATATTTTATGTTTAGATGATAAAAAAAAGCTATATTATTTTGTTTAATTTAATACTTTCAATTAGATTTTGGTATAGACAAACGTAAAGTTACTTTTTTTGAAATTCCTAAATATTTTTTTCAACCACTAGAAAATTGACTATATTGAACTAATTTCATGAATTACATATAATCACTAATAGAATATTTGTTTATGACAATGTCATTTAAAAGAAACTGATGTGCATATATAGATATATATAATGAGATGCGGCATGTTTGATTATGACAAATCAGCAATTGCTTAAGGCTGAAAAAATAGAATACTGTGAAAATAAAAATAGATTGTGAAGAAAGAGTAAAAAAAAAAAGAAAAAAAACTAATAGAAAACGACTAAATAACAATGCATAAGTGGAATGCTATAATTATAGCAGTACTCTAGTATAAAGACATCAAAGTATTTTGATTAAAGTTGTATATAAATTACTATCGAAGATTGTTATTAAGAAAATAGACATCAAGATCAATTTTATATAATTATAATCGACTTGAAAAACAATTGGAAGTCTTTTGTTTCAACAGATAAGTAAAACTATCAGTTTTTGTCCATTTTTGTCGATTGATTCGTATAATGTAACGAACATATTTATCATCAAAAACTATGTCTTTATCTAAACATATACGCTAATTCCATTAAATAGATTAATTCAATGACATTCTTTTAGAGTTCTCTTTTTAATGATTACTGCATACACGTACATATTTTTAATATCTTCATATCTATTATTAAAAACTTTCTCATGAACATATGCGTAACTGTGAATAATAGAAAACAATAAAAAAAAAAACTACACACTCATAAATATATTTTTTAATACTCTTACCGTTATAGACACACATGATATATTTTTGTGCGCATATCTTCTCGNTTCTGCAAAACATAATACATTGAATGCAAACGCAACAGAACCCTTCACGCTATCAGCGATATTTCGAACTCAGCAATGAATATCTTCCAAACTATTCTTCTGATTCGGTGAATCGATAAAGTTTTGACACAAATTGTTTCTGAAACAAAGTGTCTTATTCACGGCAGCATACAGTACAAAATTTCAAAAAACTAATCACGGATCCGGATTCCTCGACCCGAAAAATATTGGGTCAAACTTTGTCTCAATTAGTTTAATGAATGAACTCAGTTCACCTCCGGCGCTCTAATGAACGAACGAACATACATACATGCATACATACATACATACGAACGAAGATAACTCACTCAGCGTTATGACCCTGCTTTCATTAGAGGGAATAAAAAAATCACCTTTTTTCTCTTTCACCGAAAGTGCATTTGTATATGTACCAAAAGCGACAACTACACATCTCATTTCATTTCATTTGGTGAACATAAATCAGCCAATGGGAAAAAAAGACGAATCAGTGAAATAAATTCATTCGATAGAACAAAGATATTTTATAGTTGTCCTTCCATATAATGTCATCGAATTTTGCAATTTTTATTTTACTTTTGAAATGGAGGATTCATCGACATCCATTAATATCGACAATCTTGTACGCGTCTTCAAACAAAATGATAATGGGAACCAAAAGTAACTGTTCTTTTATTGTTTCTATTTTTTTTCTATCTCTCTTTTCTTAGTCAAACATCGGTTAAACCTGAACATCACGATCAATGGATTAACAATTCAATTTTTTTTCGACAAATTACTCAAGATATTTCAAGTAATTGTTTTTATGTTGTTTGTCAAAATTAATTTCTTTAATCTTCATAGTGTTACCCACAATATCTACTATTGCAAAAGAAAATCCATCGGAATCTAATCCAAACATTAACAAAGATTCTGAAATATCCACTGATGACAAAGGTGCACATGAAATAAAATTATATACAACTGATCAATTTCGTTCACGTATTAATCGATTATATCCATTTTATTTGGATTTTTTTTCTGATAGAATATCATCACTTGATTTTGAACAACATCGAATGGGTTTATATCTATTCTATGATATTAATAACGGTTGTTTAATTAATGATCTAGAAAAAGAATCACAGAAAAAAACCGATCGAGGAAAAAATATGAAAGTAAAAAATTAAAAATTCATAAATTTAAATAAAGACCTCACTTCTTTTGATTAGAGAATGAATGGATTGTTATTGAATGAACATCGATTATTTAATCAATATGCGAAAGAATATGCTACTAAACATTTAACAAGAGATTATGAAGCAATTAAATCATCAATCAATCAATTTATGCAAGTAATTGCTATTTCTTCAACTTGTATTAGTAAACTGTATAGTTTTAATATAAATAGACATGGCTTCAACGTAAAACAGATTTGTTACTCAAGGAAAAAAATTTATTCGGACAGTATTACTCACAACGTATGGCTATTCCATTAAATTCTTATGATTCCCTAACTCCTGTTACTTTCGTTAATCTTTCAACTATGTTACGTGTGGTTAGTCATCATTTTAATTAAAATATATTTCATTGTTCTTTTTTTAAGGGTACAATACCATTATTAACTATTCCAGAAAAAATTGAGCAAATAAATATCAAATGTAGTGATAATCGTGATCGAATTGTAACAAATCGCTTCAATCCAAACTATCGATTAACTGTAAGTTTAAAAAAAGAAATTTAACAAACGAAAATCAATAGGACTTAATGAGAAGCGATTTATTTCACTCTCTATAGCTGATATAACCCAAAGGAATGTAATAATGATTATAATTGATTTATAGAAAACGTAATTAAATGAGAAAATATAAACATAATCTACAGAAGAACCTAATCAACAGTATGCAAAGTTCAAACATCTTGTCACACTAACAGAATGTTTAGACCATCCATAAACGAGTTATTTGAGACATATAAAACACAATACAAATTTTCAAGAGATGAATATGTTAATCCTTTTACGTTCTTCGCTATTCTTAATATCTGATAATATATCTAACGCTATAGACTTTATATTTGAATATAAGAAATGACATGCATAGTCAATGATGTTACACTTACGAATGAACATCGCCAATTGTCGTATGTCGTTCGATCTGGTATTAGAATCAAGAGTAGATCTATGTGAGGCAAAAAATATTTTAAAAGATTCATCTAGGAAAAACAACGAAATTTTTCCTATCAAATCTCTAGTGAATTAACATTATTGAAAGTTTGATATAGCCTAAAAAATCTATCATTTAGGGATACAATCTGAAGTAGCTTCTTTTTTTGTTAAACAAGTTATTCAAATTATATTGCCACTTGAGGAAAGATAAATTTGTTCTTCATGATCATTTCAAGTAATATGAGCGAATAATTCTCTTCTCTAGTTCGCTATATTCTAGATTTACGTTCTAGTCACACATGGCCTACCATAAAACTTTATAGAGAATCAAATGAAAGTCAAGAATCTTGAAAAAATATGAGTTTTTTTTAGACACAAACCGTTGTAATTTAAATTTTCATTTATTTAAGAACTTAGTTGACGATCCAAATCTTCTTGCTATACTTTCTCAACATCCATCTATCGATATTGTGCTTTCAAAATCAAGTTTTCATCTATTAATTGAATCATTTTCAACATCACCATCATTATCACCAATGACATTACCAATGTTGATTCGAGAATTTCAAATTGAAACATTAGATAATCCAACTTCTATTCCAAATAAGAAAAAAATAATTTTTATTGATAAACCATTACGTCAACGTATGTATACAAAACGAGAATTAAATAATAAATATTCTCAACGATCATTTCGTTCATTATTATTATCAACAACTGGAGGAAAACGGGATCTAACTGATAATCAATTTAATTATTCCAGTTTTAATAATAAAACTGAATTTCAAATAATTGAAATGAAAAATAAAACAAATGAAAACGGTTTTATCAAACAAACAGATCAAGAACAAGAAAAAAGAAAAAATTTAACAGATGATGAAGATGAAGATGATGAAGATGCAATGATTATTAGTACAGGTGAATTTTCATCAACAAACAAAGAATCCTGTCGGATTAGGTGCCCTATTCAAAACCAAATATACCATGTGGTTGAGTAAGTCGAGGTACGTCGAACTCTATATAGTAATTCTTACTTCCATAAGACTTTGAAGAAACTATAGGAAATTTACTGATAGACAACTGTGCATCCGAAGCACGATCATTATGGTTCTTGATATTAGTCAACAGTGTTTTGTAAAAAGAAAAATTTGATATAAAAAATTTCGATTTTTCAATAATTTACGATAGTTTTTCATTAATGATGAGTCTCCATGTCTTCAACAGTATTGGCCAGAGAAGATGTAATCAGGCGGCAAACTTCGTTAGAAATTGTGCGCGATGTAGTACTATAAAATACACTATTTGAAAATTGTCTAAGATGAGTGCGTGATGTCCAAAATAGTCTTATATCAAAAAATTTGAACTAATTTTAAATAAACATAATTGATGTAAAAGTTGGTTAACATTTCTCAATGCAAGACTTTTGAATATCGTGAACGATTTCTGAGAAAATTTACCGTCTGGTCAAATCTTCTATGGTTGACACTATTGAAGATATGGAGACTCATCATTACTGAAAAACGGTGATATATCATTGAAAAATTCAATTTTTTCCTCTAAAAAGCTTCTTATAAACACTTCCGACTAATACCAATGATCGTGCTTCGGATGCATAGTCGTCCATCAGTAAATATATTCTAATTTCTTCAAAGTCTTATAAATATAAAAATTACTAGATAGAGTTTGACATGTCTCGACCTATTCTACAAGATGGTATATTTGTTTTCTGAGTAGCTCACCTAATCCGTCAAGGTTCATGAAGAAACATTATAGAATTAAATTCATTTAGATGGTGATATTGAGCAACAACAAAAATTATTTAATAAATCCAAACAAAAAATAATTCATTCAGCACCTATTCTTCAAGAACGAGAAACGAATAATTCAGAAAACGCAACAGATAATAACGAAAATGGATCAAGTTATTTGATTTCTAGAAAAAATTAAAAAAAAAATTGAATTGTTTTAGTGCCGGTTATTGGTCGTGTTAAACTTGCAACACCTGTTCAAGGTAATTATGAATATTGTTTATGGCAATTAGGTACACTTCAAATGCTTATTCGTTCATCTTATCATGGATTTTGTCGTCATATACTTCCTGATAATAAAACTAATGATGAAATGATAACATGTTATGCAAAACTCGAATATCAACCACAATTTGGTTTGGAACAAATTACAGATAAAGAATATCGTTCAATTTGGTTTGAATCATATTTAAGACATGGAGCAAGTGTTCTTCTTGGTTAGTTATTTTGAAAAATTTTATTTTTTCATATTAAAACAAAGATAATTTTAGGTCGAATAAATGTATTTACTCAACAATTACTTAAAGTTGAAAAAATGGCTTATGAAAATATCGATCAAAACCTTAAAGAATGTCAAATTGAGTAAGATATTTCAATGATTTCTTTAAATTTAATTATATATGTTAATTTAGTATGATAAAACCAATTACCAAAGTATATGGATTATTATATGGTTTACAAAGGTATTGAGAAAATATTTCGTTATTTAAAACATGGAATTATATATATATATACTTTATTTTATTTAGTTTGGAACCGAATAATTACTTATTATCGTGTCCATTGAATGAAAATAAACTTTATCTTTACCAAACAGTGTCAAAAGAATCAAATGAGTAAGAATTTTCACTATCGAAAATATTTAACTTTTAGCGAATTAATCAATCGAACGTTTTTCTTTATGTTAACTATATTGTTCAAGTCTAACGAGAAACAATCCCCAAGTGATAAATTGCTTTCGAGCTAAAACTGTATTCAATCGATAGAGTCTAATCAGTAAATAAAGACCTTAGTGTGATTTGATCAGCTGGACCTTTGTTGCTGATATTTCGAATTTTTCTTGCAAGATCCCAGTTATCAAGCAAAATCATACGCACTTGGTCTTTCCAAGATACGAATCTTTGAATATATCCATGTTTTTCACGATAATCATGACAAAATACCTATATTATAAAAAATCCTGACATTTTTTCTATCAGCTAGTCTAAATATTGTCTTTAAAGGTGCAACTTTCAGATCAAAATTTTAAATTATGATTTTGCTTGAAAACTGGAGTCCTACAAGAAAAATTCATTAAAAATCCGAAATGTCAGCAATAAAGATCCAGACGCGTGAATCATTCTAAGGTCTTTACATACTGATTAGACTCTATCGATTGAATATAGCTTCAGCTCGAAACCCATTTATCACTTGGAATTTTCCCTCGTATAATCTGAACAGAAGATCAATAATACGGAGTGATTTAGTTATTAGAGCGATCGCTTCTCAATCTATTGAACCATAGAAATCTTCATCATAAACTGCAGTATGCACTTTGAAAAATTGAGCTGAAACTTTCTATTCGATATTAGAGTAATCAACACGGTCTTTGTTGAACTCAATATTAAGATTAAGTTCTATAGATATTTAACACAAGATACTTAAATCACTTGTGAGTTGTAAATATTTTAGATGTTCTAATAATTAGATATATCGATGCAAATTTCCCATTTGTAGATATTCATTGCATCCAAGAATACTTTAGTTGCACCACCCATTCGACTATCTGACTGCGTGAGAAGACTAAGAATTTGCGAGTTTGTCCAGATTCCATTGAGATTGGAATCAGTTTCTTTTCTAATTAAAAAATCTTTATTTTCCTAATTTCGGTTCTATTTTCACGAATCAAAATTTCGCAATAATTGGTATAGTTTTGGTTTTTGAATCTGTGAAACGCAATGTAAATAAATTCAATTCGATAGGAATTTAATCATTGACGGACTACGGCCCGTTTCTGCATCATATACGCCAAAAAATATAGATATTCGTAGCCATCGTCTCAGAGTCTCATGACACGAGTAAACATTTGCGCTAACTAAATTTCAGTTCTCTAAAACGCGAATCATATAAACCTAAATGAATTTATCATTTTTTTTTTCAGAAAAACATCCGATCTTCATTCAGAACCATTTGAATCAAACGATCTTCTTATTGAACCTGATCGTGTTTCTGTACCATGGATTCCTTTAACACCAGCTCTACTATTACCATATCATCTTGATTTCGAACGTATTCCATTAACATTTTGTCCACGAACTAAACGTATTTAATTTTCACTAGATGAATTATTTATTAATTGAATCTTTTGTTTTTTTTTGTTGTTTATTGCAGGTTTGTATGATATTGATATCATTATTCCAGCATATCGAAAACGTCGAAATATTGTTAAACAAGCAGAAAAAAAGAACCTAGACAAAAAGAAAAGAAAAAAGACAAAAAAGAAAAATGCTCAACAAAGAAAAAAGAAAAATGCTGAACAGTCAAAAGAATAAATAAAATTTATTACTTTTTTTTTCTGAGATATGTATTACTTATTTTCCAGTGACATAAGGATTACAAATTCACTGCATTTCAGTTTGTTTTCATCTCTGTTTAATATCTTTTGAATAAACTATGAATATAGAGAAGATTAAAATGATTTATTATACTATTTTCACTACTTATTGATTATATGTAAAGACATTGATAATAAATAACTATTCAATGAAGTGAATAACTTATTTTATTGTCTTATCTAGAGAATTTCTTGTAGAAACTAATTATATTTTATTTTCTCTTCTTTTTAGATAAAATTTATAGAGAAATCAAGAAGAAGAGAAAAACAAATGGACGACTATTCAACAAAAATAAAAAATTCAGGTGAACATTTAATTCGAAATGAATTTCCTGAAAAAGCGCTTGAACTCGATAAACTTGTTTCGGTTTGTTCTTTTTATTAAAGTTTTAAACTATTTAATATATTTTACTTATCTTTAGAGTCCAGTTTTATCATTTAGTGAAGTATCGAAAATTCGTACTGAAATTCAATTACCAACAGCTGATGATATTATTGCACATCTAAAAAATAGCAAAAGCATAAATTCAATTGATGTAAGTTTTTATCAATGGGTAATGAATTAAGAAGCAAACAAAAAATTTTAAACGAGTTGCAATTATAAATTTCAATTTGCTGTTATATCATGTCTTATTTAGTAATTGACTTGAAATATCTTTCGATAGTCTCAATAAAATTATTGAAAATATTTTCTCTCATATCTATTTTAATTTAATCGTTGCATTTTATGTGCTATTTTCCTTCATTGATATATAGAATCTATTAGTTTCGAAAATTTGCGAACCCGGACCTAAACTATGTTCTTAATACTTTTAATGAAATTTTGTACTCTGAACCTCATAGTCGCTCGACAGCTTGTAGATACTGTTTTTGATTGTATTCAATGACTAGCACATTTTTCAAATTATCTTGATAGTAATCTTGTGAAAATCAAGTCATAATTCTCTCTTACTTTTAGAGTATTGTCCGTCTGATCAGCCCCGGATCTGGACTTAGACAAGTTCGACTCATGAACCTATCCGACGGTTTCTACTTGTATGTTACATGGAAAGCTGTTTGAGTTTATTGAACTTAACATATGTTGGGTATGTGTAACACAAGTTTAAAAAACACATTGACATATCAATGTCATGGATACAAGAGAAATAGAGATCAGAAACTGAAAACGAACTGAACTCGAGCTGACTTTTAAAAGTCAAAGTTGAACCAAACCTAACTGACCTAATTTTCAGACATAAAGTCGATTGCAAATCAAATCTTAGATGAAAAATAATTAATTGCACTATCATTGACTTCGAAAGTCTCTGATTCTATTGACGAAGATTAAACAAGCTTTTATTGGGGTTTTTATATACTTAACCCCTTGAAGATCAAGTTACTGTTTACAAAAAAGTTCTTTTTTTCCGACATGTTGAATAATATCCACAGATATATAGAGTAACCATGGAACAACAGCATAAGAAACACAGTTATGGTTCTATTCAGAACCTTTGACTGTAAATGGTCTTCTCGTCCTGAAGTGGTTAGTTTAATCTCCGCGTAATATCGCCTTTGTTCACTTCTCAACATTTATAGTAACTATGTCGACAACGATTGATAAATTTTTATGCATCATAATTCTTTTATACGCGTCACGTAATTAAAGACTTCACCATTTTTCTGTACTATGATCAATATTCGTCTGTCGTAGTGTGAGATTAATATTAGTAATAAAAAACTGTATCAATATAATAATTAGTATTAATTCATACGAATATAATTTCTAATGTAACATCTTTGATGATTCAAGAATCAATTTTTCACTTATCGTCTACTATTATCTTCCTCTCGTGTTTCGTCAATTATTTTGATAAATGTTTGAACTCAAGAAGAAGAGATAAATGCTTTTCAATATGTATTTCTGTAATTGAATTCATTTTTTTTGTTCATTTAAGGATTATCATAATTCTGCATCAGCGGTTAATAATAACAATGGCAGTTCAATAAAAAAACAGAAAATTGATTCAAATGATACCATGGATTCTAGTGAGCCATCAGCATATGAATTCAATGGTACGGTTCCATCAAATCGACTTATATCAATTTTGGAAGATAAACTCAGACCGTATATTCTTCATTTTCTTGATAGTGTATGTAGATTGTGTGTTTGTGTTGTTTTTTTTATTTAATTAAAAATATAAATATTCTATATAGGTTGCTATTATTAAATTATGGATACAATTAATGATACCCAAAGTTGAAGATGGAAATAATTTTGGTGTTAGCATTCAAGAAGTAAATTTTTCAAAACAAAAATAATAATATTCGAAATATTTATTTATTTTCCTAATTAGGATTCATTGGCTGAAGTGCGAACAATAGAAACAGAAGTAACACAATATATTGATTTAACATGCAAATATTTAATATCTCGTGGAGAACTTATTAAGAAAGTTGCTAAATATCCTCATGTTGAAGATTATCGTCGTAGTGTTCAATCATTAGATGAAAAACAGTTTGTTTCATTACGTTTCATTGCACTTGAACTTCGAAATCATTATGTAAATAAAGAGTTTTTTTTTTTCTTCTGTCATTAAATTATATTTTATTTCATTTTAGACAAGTGTTCACGATCTTTTGATGAAAAATTTAGAAAAAATTAAAACACCAAGAACAAATCAAACACATTCATTGTATTAGTATAGATACTTTTCTTTTGTTCAATAAAATTGTCATCGTTATTCATGATGGAAATTTCATTACAAAGAAAACAAAACCAATCTAACATCATAAATTACTTTATTAACTGATAAAAAAGGTGAAACCTTTATTATAGTGAAATGTACGTGGCCACTTGAATAGTCGATATTATTTTATTTTTCACTAGAATGAAGAGTGAGTTAGATAAATGAAATGAGATTGAACTCATCTTTTCTCATAAACTAAAAAATGATCTCACTTACAATTGCATATGCAAATAAATGTTTAATGTGATTCTATTAAGTCTATTCTATGTGAGACATTGTGAGTTAAAATAGAGTTTTGTTTGACGTCATCAGACTTAACATAAGATAAGAATAGAAATTCTTTTCTTGATTTATTTTTTTAGAAGAAAAATTATTTCCGATTCTTCCTTTATAAGAGAGAAGAGAAATTTCTGTAACATATCGTTGATGATTTGAAAAGATGCTGACACTAAAAGTAATCCTTCTATAGTCTGTAAGTATTTCCTATTTATTTGTCTTCTATTCGTTACTTTATCATATTTTTATTTAAAAAACGTTATGTTTTACAGAAAGTTGAAGAACCCAGTGAATTTATATTTAATACAGCGAAACTTCATATTTTTAATGTAATTAAGCACACTTCAGATAAAGTCCAAAAATGAACTCAATCAGAAGCCTCTATCACCGTACAAATATAAAGTATTATCTAATGAAAATTGATTTATATCGTTTAAAATAGTATTTTGTTTATCTGCTGAGAATATTGTCCCAAAAAATAGAGGATAATGATTGAACCTAATAAGATTCGTTGTTAAAGGACGAGTATTTTACTAATTTTCAGCTTAGTGTAAGTGTAACCTGTTTGACGTCAAATAGAACGATGAAGTGTTGTGTATTTATAGATTTAACGATCGACAGCGTATTCTAAACGTATTAATCAAAGCTAAAAACTTGAATTCTTAATTATATGCAGATAATGACAGAGTTGCGCTAGACTGAATTCTATTTTTACAAATGTTATCTTGTATTTAAAGATACTATTAAAAATCTAGTTACTCTTTTTGTTGTATAAAAATGCACCAGCACGATTTCATTTCAAAAATTTTTACGTATTCACTGAACAGACTTTTTCATACGAGAATTATAATATTCAAAAGTCAAATAATTCTCTTCTAATTTAAACATAATTGTTGACATAACAAAGAACACCTGATTCAATATATACAAAGATCTTTTCTTTCTAAAAAAAAATAGTCGTGACTCTTCTCTATGAATAACATGAAACTGAAGTGTTAGCGCGCTGGACAATTTCTAAAATATAGTTATTTTATGATCGAATGTTACTTTTAAAGTTTGAGACTCTTTCGAAAAAAATTCAAAATGCAGCTGAGGAAAATCATTTTCACTTCAAAATTTCACGAGATGCCCTAAAATGCCTTTCGATTGCTTCGATAAATGAATTGAAAATGAACACTCATTCTTGAAACATACAGAAAGAGATAAGGGTGAGAAATAGAGTCCACCGAATGAATCCTTCAAAGATAGCTATGATAATTCTAAAGTTAAAATTTCAAAGTTTTTATAAAAATTATATATTGTAAATAGAAATGAAACATGTTTTGTCGGACGATTCACATAGACCATATAAGTATTAGATATATGCATACATTTATCTAAAAAATAATAATGACGAATACCATGATCATTTTTTATATCTTCTATGTAAAACACATTTTTGCAATTTTCGTGCTTCTATTTTATTTGTTTGAAAAATAAGTACATATCAGCAGATATACTATGCTCTAAATATTTAATACTAACAAAACTACGCTTATCTAACTATATGGAATTTATACAATCTAATTTTAAAACAATATCTTTCAGTTATGACAGCATTTTTATTAATAGTTTATATTTTATCATTGGTAATTTTTCGATCGATCGATCGATGATATTTTTATTAGATATAAGTTAACTTCTTATCTTATCCGAATAATTTAAATAATTGATT